ACATGGAGAGAGGCAGGAACCAAAGACATTGTATCTGATTCAGTATTGAAAATGCAAAAGAGAAGAAGAAATAAACTCACTCAAGAACCAACTTGGCTGCCTTTCCATCAGCAGTTGGAGGTGGTGGTGCATAGTCACAAAAGTCATTGTTGCAATGTAAAACACCCAGGCAGGTGAACCAGATCGTCTTCCAAGATCAGTTTTTGGCGCCTTGAACCTTTTGAGTATGTGGATAGGAGATGTGACCAAAGTTTACAATGTTATTTCAAGGTTCTCAAACAAAGACTGTCTCACCATTTGGATAAATTGGGTAGCCTTGACTATCTCATGTTGACCCATGACAACCCTGGGCCAGCAACGCAAGTGTTGCGTGCTGCACTGCTCTTGTGTTGCGGTTTTTATGACCGCACCACACCGTAAAATCCATTTTGAAGCTGCGGCCTGACCCGCTGCGCAACAAGATGTGTCCAATTTTGAGTTTTTTTGGGCCGCAACAACATTTGTTGTGTTACTGACCAAAAAAACTTGAAATTTGACGGTTTTTGGTGCTGTTGCGCCTTTTGTGTTGCGTTGGACCCTCAGTTCATTGCTCCAAGATACTTTTTCTTTTCTCATTGTCTCTAAGGGACTTCACTGTTTGTGTATTAGGGGTTGGGCAAAATTTTGACCAACCGGTTTTGCGCCTCTGAGAAGCCCGGCGAAATGAGTTGAAGATAGAGGCAGACAAGTTTTCTGGGTTTCACATGTCTGTTGCAGCTCTGAGCTCAGCACTGAGATATTTTAGGCGGGTGCCTGGGTAAGCTTGTGCCAGAAGAGAAGGATTGGGGGATCTGTGAAAGGAGAAAGAGGGGAGTTTGCATGGCTTGTAGCAGCACAAATTGTTTTTTGCTGTAAGAGTTTTGAATGGGTACAGCTTTGGTGTGATCAAGAAGCATATCATACTGGTCTAATTTTTTGGAAAGCAGAAAGATTGATAAAAGTTTTGGTTGGTTAAGAGTGGCTTTGATATTGATTTCTGGCCATCTCAAAAGGATTCTTAAATCATTGAACTACAACTGAATGGGTTTTGCAAACTGGTTGGTCAAAATTTTGCCCAACCCCTATTACCGCCCACTGAACTAATGATAAGATCTGATTATTCTCATTTTCATATTGTTCAGCCCTACTCTGAACTTGTTTCATTCCTGGAGTTTCATATGCCAATATTTATAATATTCTAAGATTGTTGCAATCATACATATGCCTTGCTCTCTACATGCTCTTTGGCTCACCTCATTGCAAGCAGTCTATACCAAGATTTGTATGAGTCTTATGAATTTCCCTTTGAAATCCAAAACCATCCAAAAACCTTGCCTGAATCAGTTTTAGGCATGTGATTGAACCTTTTTGTGTTAAAATTTCACTCATTGCAATAATCTATTGGATGAGAAGTTTGGTCCCACAAACCATTGACTGGAATTTTATCTTTTTCACTTGAAGTTTTCATTTCTCCTCACACTCTTGCTCTTTGTTGAATGTACTCATAGTATATTCAAACACTTCATTCCTCAAGATGTCTTTGTGCATGTTTTAGATGATTTTACAAATTCATTGGAAGCATATTTGGGTAATGCATCACACTATTTGTGATATGACTGCTCATGCTGTTTCCATTGAATATACTTCCATTCATTTTTTTCACTGTACCACAACCTGTAACACAACTTGATTTTGAATAAAAAGAATTGAATACCAAACAATTTGGGAGGAGACAAGTTTTGATCAAAGGTGTACAACATGTGTGACTAAAACCAATAGCCAGTGACAGCATATGACTTATGCACAAGGCCCATTGTGAAATATTTCAAATTGGGGTTCTCATGAATGGCTTCAATATCCCTATTGTGTGCCGCAAGACTAAGAGATTGTGTTTGAAAAAACAGAGACTTGGGAACACTGAAAACTTTTTCAATGGGGTTGAAATTGTGGGAGTAGGGAGGTAAGTATATTATGTGAATACCTTTCTCCTCTGCCAATTCTGTGATTTTCCCGTCATGATGGCTCCACACATTATCCATGCTCAACACAGAATTTGCCTGCTGGCATGGATTCAGGACAGGAAACTTGCACCAAGTGAGGTCAGAATGAGAAAGAAGGGATAGATGTGAAATCAAAAATAAGATTACCAGTTGGTGTTTGAGGAAGCCTTTAAATTTCTTGAAATGGAAGATCCCTTCTTGGAAAGTCATTGTCAAAACACCTCCATTGAATATAGCTGGTAAGAGAGAATACCGCTTTCCGCCTTCCCGTATGGTGGCCCACCCTGGCCCAACTGTCAACTCTTTGCGGGCTCCATTCCTGAATAGTGCATTCATCTATCATGATAGAGCTTCCAGTTCTCAGAATTACAATTACACAACAGGAAGAGATAAATTATACCTAGGACGACCGTAATCTCAGGTTGAAAACCACCATAGTTAGTACTACAGCCAATACAGCGCTGTGTCTGGTGCAAACCTTAAAAAAACTTGAAAACAGGACACGGATTTCCTGAACAGAGCCATAAGATTTCATCTCTCATTGTCCAACTCCAACTCACACTTCCCTTCTATCGATCCTTCTCACCTTCAGACAATACCTTACACATCCATTTTATACTATCAATCTTCAATTTATCATAATTTTCACTTTTTATCTTTCTTTACCGCATACATTATTCTCATCTATCAATCATCTTGTACCTAAACTGATATGGTGGACTTCTTATCTTGTCTTATCTTCTCTTGGCCACCTGCTGGTACAAAGTATTTCAGAGATCGAAGTGTCCCAAATAATGAGTACGGAGGAATATACTGCTTTAAAATCACTCCTAGAGCCCACCTTGTTAAATGCTGTCAAAGCCAAGTTGAAAGAAAATGTATGGGTTTCTTTTTCTTTGATCCATATTGTTTTTTCCCGAAGGATTCTTGACATATACGATCTAATGGGTTTCCAAGAGACGATGGAAGAATCTCACAAAAAGTCGAGTTGCTCTAGTTCTTCAAAATGGAGATGCCTAGTCTACATTGGTCTCTCTAATCACATATCATTCATGTAAGAATTCCAAATACAATGGAATGATGTTAATGGTTTTGTATCGATGCATTTTCGCAGCTATTCTTTAGTCCGTAGTGATTTCCTTCAAGTATGATTGATAACTAGTGATTGATAATCATTCCCTAATGCGTTTCCTAGAGAGAATGGAGGAAATGTTGAATTCATGCATTATCGATCGATCACCGTTGGAAATATAGAATGTGGAGGATCCAAAAGTGCCAGAAAAGTGGGAATGCCATCAATGTCTCTTTTCTAGTTCTAATATATAGTTTCTATATATCATCTTCGCAGTTTGGTTCTTTGATAATGTCCCATTACGTCTCGTAATGAACCTGAGGAAAGATCAAAATTTGTCTTTTCTCCGAACCATTTTGGTCATCTATATTTCTTGATGTTTTCCTCCCAATGATAATCAATTTTGGACAACAGATAATAGAGAGATTGCAACAGTGCTGATTGGAGATTGAGCACTTCAACTCTCAACATAACGCGTCGAACCACCAGCCTTGACTCGAATTCGTTGACAGGCTTAGTGCGAGGATTCAAGATGACAAAATTGCAAACATTTAAATCAACCTCATTTTAGGATGAACCGTCAACCTCAATCAAATTGGCAAATTGTTTCTTGATTGATTGGCGATCATATCAAGCCTTAAGATGCCACACTTGAGAGTCTGGTCTTCGAAGAGGAATTTGTTCGGGTTCCAAGAATCTGAACATCCTGAGATGATTGGATGCGTTCATGTTGGTTGACCTTTCTGATTACACATCATTTGGGTATTGATGCTGAGGACAACAAGATGTCAAATATGATCTTTTGTCCGGTGCATTTTGTCCATCCTCGAGTTATACAATAACACCATCCAGAAATTTGTTGCTTTTGCTGCATTTGTACATCTATGATAAGTCGACCCTTGTGCTTTTATAATTTGTCCTATTCCATCCACATCAATAAAGTTTTGAGAACCTTTCATTGCCAGTCGTGAGATTTCCCTCTTCCTATCCTCAAACATTCAATCAAAAAAATTGAAAATCATCTCTTTGTTGAAAAATCACAAGATGAGGGAAGAAAAGAAAGCAATTCAATCCCGTTCTCAGTCCACTCCAACACCAACACCAACTTCAACACCAACACCTTCTAACTTGAATATTTCAAAGTATAGACCATTATGTTCATCAGATTTTGATCCTCTTTCACCTACCACGCTTCTCATTCCAAATCTTCAAATATATAAGAAAAGGCGTCGCATTACACCACCAAGTGGTGAATGCATCACTACTGATTTATGGAAGCGCTTGAAGAATGAATCTCGCCGTCATGATGTTCCAAGAACTCGGCCAAATGAAGAACAACAATCTATGGAAGCTAGTCCTTCTCGTTTCGACACAAGTTCCTTTGTTTCTTGCGGTCCTCTAGGTACACCCAAAAGAAATTTACCTGAGAAAGTGGCGCGTGATGATGATGATGGGCTCAATATTAATCCTCCAAAGAATTCCACAAAACGGAAGTCGTCTCGTTCAACCTCGCGTGATGTCGTTCGTAAGTTTTGCATTTCTTGAGTATTTTTGATTGTGATATGTCTTTCTTACTTGATGATTCTTTGTTTCCAGGAACTTCGAACCGAGAAACGAAAGTTGTGCAGGATGACAGGCCACTTGAAAATTCAAGACGAGAATCAAACTGCCTTGACCGCCATGATGTTATCTCCTCCGGTCCATCGAAGCCAATCAAGAGACGAGTTCGATTTGTCGATGAGGCTGTAGTGCCACCTTTGGAAATGCCTTCACAACCTCTTCCGTTCGAGGATCCCTTCTCAGCGGGGCCATCGAAGCCAGCAAGAAGAACCAAGAAGAAATCGGTTTCACATCAGGCAAATGATAGTATCTTACCATCTTTCAAACTGAGCGGGAGTAACATCTCTCGGATTTGTGCTTCGACAATGGATGAATTGATTTCAGGAATGTACAAAGATAAGATTTATAAAAAATTCATTATAGATTGTCGATCGACAAATGAATTCAAAGGTGGACATATAAAAGGTGCCAAGAATATATCAGATAAAGAAATCATAGATCAAGAATTGTTTTCTCCCGATATGACTGCGATAGCAACCAAACGACTTGAATGTAGGAAGCGTATATTACTCATCTTTCATTGTGAATTCTCGGCGATGAGAGGTCCAAATATGGCGACCTATGTTCGAGAGCGGGATCAAGAATTACATAGCACAGAAGGTTTACTTTACAAAGAAATTTACATTCTTGACGGTGGTTATGCAAAGTATCAAGGTCACTCATCACAGAATTGTATTGGTGGATATATCACAATGGACTCTGAATGGAAACAAGATAGTAATCCACAATTCGACATTAATCAATTTAAAATGAAGGAAACTAATGGATTCACTAAAAAGAAAACTTATTCTTTGATTGATGAAAATGGAAAATTTAATTACCTTGACGAAGCACCTCAATCTGGACCATCTCGTGAACCCCGTGAATCTCAAAAAACCGATAGAAAATTACTTTGGCCTACTAAACCAAGCTCGAGGGTAACTTCAAGATAAAGCCTTCTATGAATTGTTTTCTCTTTTGACCATCGTACTAACACTTTTAAATATCATTGTACATACTTTCATTGGATTCTGTTTGCTTGTTTGTACATCAGTGCAGTTTGCGGTTGATCCGCTTTTCAAACAAACTTCTCAAGCACAGTTGCCAACTGGCGAGGTAGAAATTCGAAAGAGAGTCTCGAGAAGTCAGAGTTGAAATCCTTTCAACATTCCTATTGATCAGGCGATCTCCTTGAAAGCCATTGGCTATAGTGTCGTCTAGATACCTCCTGGATTATACTCGTCATGTTACCACATGTTATATCATTGATCAAGCGGCACAGATCATATCTAAACGCTTCATAGAATCATGTAATAGGGGGAATAAATCCATTCGCAACTGCTAATCCTGTAAATTTCAAGTGCGAGTCAAATTCACTCAAATCCTCACTTTTATCAATTGGTATATCCTATTCGCCTTATGATGTTTCATTGAATCCTTTCACCGAATTTTGTGTGCAAATAGTTATGACACTATGATTCTACACATGACAAGAATGTGTTGCATACCTTTATTCTTTTCCTTTCTTTCATGGGATTTTGAACAATGTACCACGTGGACATATTTCAATCTCTGTCTTTTATTGTGCTTGTATGTCAAGCTATTTGAAGTTGTTTGAAATGCCGAACAGAGATCCATGCAGCCTCGTTGCGGTCACGTTATATCAAGGAATCAAAGCCTGGACATTTATCAGGATTGCTGCAACTCGTATAAACGCCATGTATAAATCCCTTTTTGCGTTTGTAGTGTTCATACATATACTACATCCTCACTTTGTGAGTGTTCCCAGAGCTGGCGGAGGTACACATTAGTCCATTGCTACTTAATACTCGGGTAAGAGCTGAGGGCGCAGAGGGACCGGGCTCGAAGGTGACAGGTAAAGAAGTAGATGTCACAGGAGTAAGAGCCCGGGAGTTGGTGGAGAGAGATGGGCAAAGTTTTACCTCTCCACTCCACCATAACTCTTCACACTGCGCTTAGAAGCTCTTTCAAGTCTTAGATTCCAAAGATCTCAAGTTCTCTTAGGAATAATTCTTTTCGAGCCCACCCACCACCCGGGGTTGAGAAGTTCAACATTCTCAGGCACTGTTCTTGTCCCAGGGGAAAGAAAGGAGGTCTGGTGGCAAACCAAACCCCAGATATTCTTTCCCTTGGGGCCATCCCCAAACCACCCAATAGTAGGATGCTGAAGTATGATAGGTTCAGGACGCTATAAGTGGTCGAACATGCTTGGGAGTGAGGAACTTTATGAGGTAGGAGAAAGCTATTGAATGCTACATACATAAGGGATACAAGATAGGATATGAAAAAGCCTGACTTGAAACCCGCAGTATATAGAATGGATAGCCCATGATGGACATTCAGCAAGAAAGATATACCGTTACGTTGCACTGGATGCACGTTGCATTGGACCCATTTGAATGTTTCCTTATCTTTATTAATTCATATGAACCACATACTCTCAGCCAAAGATGAACTCTCAATAATTAAGTCGTGTCTTGTAGAGCAACCTCTAACTGGTTTTCATTTCTGTTTCCACAGAAAATTGCATAAAAGTGCGCTTCATCGCTGGGGCCTCGGGCGTTCCAGCAATGTAGAGCAACCTCTAAGTGGTTTTCATTTCTGTTTCCACAGAAAATCACATAAAAGTGCGCTCCATCGCTGGGGCCTCGGGCGTTCCAGTGATGTAGAGCAACCACTAACTGGTTTTGATTTCTGTTTCCCCAGAAAATTACATAAATGGGTATCAACTGGGTTCATGTGGAGAATACACAGCACACAGCCTTGTAAAGGATTATAAAAAGGCTGCATCCCCACTCCTGTTTGGTAATCATCTCATTACATACAGCATTCTCATACTGCCTAGCCAGCCTTTGTGCCTCACTTACATTCTGTTCTCTTTGAACTTTTCTCATCTTATCAAGGAATGGTTGTAACATGGTGTCTTTCAGGCCATAAGACTTCTGCACTGCTTCCACTTTGGATATCCAGGCATTTGCAGGTATCAACTCGCAGGGCCAAATGGTGAGTATGGGTGGTTCTGGCCGTGTGTAATGATACCAAACGACTTCCTTCGACTGCCTCAGCTTCC